AATATTCCTGTCTCTTATACACATCTAGATGTGTATAAGAGACATAGGCTAGGTCGACCCGCGTTGTCTCTGCCTTGCGAAAGGGCGCGGCACCTCTTGGTGGTGGGAATGGACGACAGCGACGGGTGTGTACATGGACGGATGCACCAAGAAAATATTGGTTAGGCATGGGGCTGGGCTCGGCGCCAACAGCAGACTCTGTCGCCGCAGCAGCACCATTTTTTCTCGATCGGTCTCTGACGTGCTTTATGTCATCAAGTGCCGGGCAGGTTCAGTTATTTTTGGCTCGCACGCGATGCCAAATGTCTACCCCGGTTTTGCCGCCATGGTGGGTTTTATTTAACCTCCCCCTGCCGACGGCTTTGCAGAGTTGCGAGGTCAACGGTCTAACGACTACGGCATGCACGACGAGTATGAGTACACCCCCCCGCCCCCGGCATGCTCGCCTCGCTATGTCCACACAGGCGACGCTGAGGCTTGGCGAGGTCATCACCACCGAGGAGCCGCTCATCAGCGTCGACGAGAACTACCGTCTCGAGATATCTGGAAGTGAGCGAAATGAGTATCTGAAATTATTTTTTCCTTATATTTATAGGTGCTTGCGCGCGGTCGCCGATAGTAGCGCTTTGTCTGGCACTACAAAACTCCGTATCATCAGCAATGTGTGTGCGTCTACAATTTGGTACGTGCCTGGTATGCACGTACTACGCATGTGTGCATGTCTGGCACTACTCCGTGTCAGCAGAAATGTGTGCGTCTACAATTTTACACGTGCCAGGTATGCACGTACTACGTGTGTGTGTGCATGTACGTGACGCACGAAGGCGAAGGACTTAAGAGAGTCGAGAGTTTCACAATGTACCAAACGAAGGTAGATATCACGCGAACAGCAGCTGATGCACGCGCTCCGTCACTTGCTACCATCCGGATCAAACCCCTGCGACATGGAAACCAAGCGCTCTCTTTCTTGTGTCCTGTCAAAAATACGAAAACACAAACAGAGGCGCTGAGGGTCGTCAAGACCAGTACCGGCGCGGTAACCTCAACCCTCTTCGAGGCTGAGGGCACGCTCGGCAGCAGCGCCAGCGCACACATGGAGGAGAACGGGTCGTTCGTGTTGGACCTCACCATGATCACGGGCTTTGATCGCACGGAAACCCGGATGGTTCTCTGGTCCGCGCCCAACACGGAGTCCGGCAGCGGCGGCTACGCCAGGCGAGTCTTGCTTGCTTGCTTGTTGTGGCTTGGCTAATTATTGCCACAAAAAACGTTTTCTGTGCTTTTGTTTTATCAAGGTTCAGGGAGAGGAGGCGGACCGTGATGTGTTGTATTTGGTGTGAAAATTTCATTTGCCATGACTTAAATTGGATTGAATTTTGTTCGGTTTTGAAAACAAACGAGATGTTCGGGAAAAAAAACATAAGCAGCAGGTATAGACTCCGGCATCAATCAGTGCACGCTTGCTTAGCCTCCGCCCACGACCTTCCCTCTCGTTCCCGGCTTTTGTTACTTTGTCTCTTCGTGATCGCAGGATGCAAAACGATGGAAAGTTCGTTGTTTTCAACCGGAAGGGCAAGGCGTTGTGGTCCACTGCTTCTTAAGGAAAACCCCGGGGGCATCGTTGTCGTCGTCAACCTTGCGGGGACGAGTAGATAGATCTCCACCTGCCACGCTCGCAACCGCGTTGGAGCACCTAGGCCGTGCCGGAGACGCCCAAACATCCCACCAGCCTACCATTTGCTGTTCACTTTTACGCTGCGGGGTGCTCGCACTGCTGCTTGCTTTGGACGGTAGTTTTGTGTGCGAAACAGCGGTTTCTTTTACCTACCTACCTACCTACCTGCCGTTTGTTTCTAAGCCGACCTGGTAGGCTGGAGCGTCGGTTGGTAGTAGGTACATGGTTGGGTTGAGCAAGACTGCCTGAAATACTTTTTTCTGACCTGCACCACATGATCGGCAGACTTCATTTTCATGCCTATTTCGGGAGAGCATGGTGGGTTGTTGGCGCTGCGTCACTTCGCGTACTTGTGTTATGCCCTTCTATGCATACATCTCTCGCGTCCTCCCCCGTAGTTGGCCTGTTTGAGGGGAATACCTGGACACGCGCAACCTGTGTCGCTCCGTCCTCCCTGTAGACATTGGTTTGCTTCCATCACCGCCTAGTACTAGGGGAACAATCGAACAGACGGACTGTCCGCGTAGGTACGCAACGCTTGCCGTGCTGCATTGGAGACCATCCTCTTTCTTGTGGAAAAGGAAGCTTCGATGGCGTTTCGTGGAGTTTTTCACTCCGATTTTCTCTGCATATATGTGTGTCGAAAGTAGTATTAGTAGTCTTTCGAGCCTCAGTTAGAATAGATAGATGCATTGATTTCTGGCAAAGAAGGCTTCTCCATCAGTCTTCGGTTTTCAAAAATGTTTTTCCCGGCCGTTTTCTTGTTTTGCAAAATATAGCCCTCCTACCACGGTACGGTGTTGGTCCCCGTTGTTGTGGAAGCTCTGAAAACTGGATTGATTCCTCCAATGTTGACTCCATTCCCCCCCCCCCCCCCCCCCCCCCCCCCCCCCCCCCCCCCCCCCCCCCCCNCCCAAGGTTATTTTACATGCTTGTGGGTTAGCCATCTCTTGTGTCTACAACCAAATCGGTTTTCTTCGTTCGGACAACATCCAAATATTCTTTTTTCGTTCGGCGCTCTCGAGATTGCTCCACAGATTTTCGAGTGTGAGTTGTTGAAAGAAGAAGTACAGCGGCTGCCACCGTCCGACATTTCCTGCAAGATTGGTGCTTCAAATCGGTAGAGAAAAGAAAACAATGCAACGCGCTGCTTTGAGTTGCTCTTGTTCTCTGGCGTCCTGGAGTCTACGATAGATTGTTTGATAATATTTTTTCGAACTGCATCGATTGCATGCGAAAATGTGTATCATCAAATAAATCTACAAGTGTAGTCTACAAGTGAGTGTTCGAATCTTCCAGTGTTTCTCATGGGCGTTTTTATTGAGCCGCGGAGCGAGCGAAGCGAGCGACCTTTTTTCCCTTTTTTCCCAAAAGGGAAAAAAAAGCTCTAGACTATACATCGGCCAAAGTTGCGCCGCGCTATACAGGGCCCCCAAAACTTGATTACGGGGAAGCCGAAATATCGCACCTTTGGGATCAGAACATCCATATGGCACCGATTGACGATTTGTTCGCTTCTGAGGATGAAGAAAAATAGCGCGCTCTTCGTCACACTGGTTTGGTCGTGCTCCGATGGCATATGGACGTGCCACACAAGCGTTCGTGCCCTATATTCGTAGGAGATCTTGCTCTCCAACCCCGGGGTTTCTACGCGAAAAGGGGTGTATACTAATGCGAAGATCGCGCGCGCGCGCGGTTCAAACCAGGACAAGAAACACAGGGCGCCTCCCGCGCTAGAGCGTGCAGCGGTCCAGTTGATGTTCCCCGAAGACAATAGCTCCAAAAAGTGTGTCAGGGTGCTTTGGCGGGGTGTAGGTCCGCGGGTTAAATTGAGTGCCCGACGTCGGGATGTTGAGGTTTCAGCCATTAGTAGTGTTTTATACTGCATAATGAATAAAAAAACGGGGATGAGGCTAAAACGTCCCCTCCCTTTGGAAAAACGGCGATAAAACTTGTTTTTAGGGCCATTTTCAAGTGCGGTGTTTGGGCTTTTTGATGAGTACAACCGGGGAGATTGACCACAACTATACCCTATGACGCATGGGACATTTATTTCACCGGCGTGCTTGAAAATAATGTATGTTGTACAATAAATATATTGGAAAAACACAGCCCATTTCGGCGACAAACCGTGAAAATATTAGCCACCAACGCCGGCAAATATTGTTTTCTCCTGCTGGAGACCTTTCTTCGGTATCCCAAACCGCAAGGGAGACGACTTGCTGCTGCACATGAATACAGCAACATGCAACAAACAGCACACAGCAACAAAAAAAGTACAAATACTGCAACAAAAATACCCCCCCAAAAAAAAACATCGAAGAGAAAAAGGCGTAAATCATAACATGACGTGCAACACGGACACCCCTCAATTCCCTTCACCACAAGACGTCCGAGTAACCTTGTGCTTGCCCGACACATCCTTCACCATACCGACCATACCCTCATAATTTTTGGACGGGACGCAGTCGTCGTAAGCTCCAACACTGCACTTCGAGCAGTNTGCAACAAACAGCACACAGCAACAAAAAAAGTACAAATACTGCAACAAAAATACCCCCCCAAAAAAAAACATCGAAGAGAAAAAGGCGTAAATCATAACATGACGTGCAACACGGACACCCCTCAATTCCCTTCACCACAAGACGTCCGAGTAACCTTGTGCTTGCCCGACACATCCTTCACCATACCGACCATACCCTCATAATTTTTGGACGGGACGCAGTCGTCGTAAGCTCCAACACTGCACTTCGAGCAGTGTAGCACGACGCCTGGCGAACGCGTAGCTTGTATCGCTTCGTGACAGCCGGAAGCGTCAGAACGATTGATTCGTCTGCCTGCCATCTCTGCGGGTTAGCTACAACCTCTTTCTCGCCACCTGCGAGGGGAACCCTGCTCTCTGTCTGCACCTCTACGCTTACGCCCAAGCTCTCCTCCTGGTGCTGGACCTCCGCTGCCATGAACTGGTACAGCCTGGAACTCCCAGAGATGCCAGTCAAATCTACAAACGGGCGAGGGATCTCTCGGTGTCCAAGGAGCTTGATGTGGAACCTCCTGATCCAGAAGGGAGACCAGGTTGAACAGTGGCCTCCTCCATTCTCCTTTGCCTCGGCGTAGGCTTTGAGGAATTCGGCTGCGGCTTGGGTGTCGTGGATGCGCTGGCCCCTTTTCTCGGCTTCTCGCAGTAGAGCCTTCAGCAACCCTCCGATGCCAGCGTGGGCGCCTTTGAAGTGCGACGTGACCGCGGAGTTGTGGATGAGGATGGCACCAAGCCTCTGCAAGCTCTTGGCCACGGCGTGAAAGTTGCGCTTCCCCTTATACTGTTTGGCGCACCCGTCGGTGAAGATGTGCACCGTCGGGATCGGGGTTCCAGCAGTAGCGGCCCGCCCATCCCCCGTGATGTAGTACTGAAGAATGATGTCCTTGGCGTAGATGTGGAAGTCGAAGTCATGATTGGGATCACTCGATACGAAAACCCATGCGTCTGTCTCATGCCGGCCTTTGTCGTCAGGACTGTGGTGAACTAGGGCCACCGTCACGTTCGTGGAGGGCGCAGTAGCGCACGTCAAGATAGCGCCTTTTGTACTTCTCGAAAAAGTCGGTCTCCACCAACAGCGCGCCTTTGGAGAACGTCGCCAGGCACATGTTGTGGGCTTGGCGCTGCCACTTTGCTAGCTCATGGTGATGAAGA